CACGCAGGCTCCCTCTACAGTGGTATCAGCAGCTAGCTGGAGGGCAGGCCTGAGCAGAGGCGGGATTTTTAGATTGGGATCAGAATTTCAAGTGTTTGAAGTCAAAGCTGCATGGACAATCAGTACAGGTGGTGTGGAATGAACTGATGCCAGGACAACCTCAAGTCTGGTCCTCAATGTCTTTCTTCTCCTTGTGTCTTCATTGCCGGGGGCAATCTATTGTTTCCCACTATTTACAAGGGGAGACATGGGGTCTCTCAGGTAAGGCTTGATACTTCCAACATACGCTTGCTACGTGACTTGCTTACCCATTGGATCAACATTACCTAGATGGCTATACTTGTAATCTTGTTGATTGATTATAGTTTTGTCCTGCATAGTTTGTACCTACCTCATGAGTTTGCTCTATAAAACTTCATTTAAGAAATAGACCATTGGGAACCCACTAGTACCCTCCTGTCTCTCTCAGGAGCTGTTTCTCCCTCAATAAACTTTCCTACTCTTAACCTCCACTGCTCCTTAAAATTCACTCTTTGATTCCAGGGACCACGAACTGAGAACATTAGACATCTAGCAGGTTGGGAGTTATGTTTATTTCCCTTATATCATTTGGAGATCCCATATTCTCCAGCCAATGCGTTATGTATTGGTCAGGTGGCAAGGCACCCCAGCACCCTCCGCAGCACATGGCGGAGGCAGCAAGCAGAACCAGCCACAGATGGAATTCCGGTTCCTCCCCCTGGCTGTGAGATCGGGAAATCCCCTGCACCTCTCCATGCCTCACTATCCTTTGTATACAATGGGGACATTACTGAATTGTTCTATGCAAAGCCCTAGAATGAGCCTGCAGCCTTCCTCTCTAGTGTCCCCTGGGTACTTTGCCCTTTCCTGCCCATGGGACCTATGCACAGGTGGTTTTCTGTCACCCTTTGTTGTCTCCTGCTGAGGCCTGCTGAGAAGGTGGAATGTCCAGAGGGAAGATTGTGGGTCTGTCTCTACAAAGTCCTCTGAGGCTTAAGGCAAAGTCAAATAAGAAACAAGGGCACTTCACCCCAACCAGCTGCCATCCCAGGGTGCCCAGCCTAAAGCCAGCTTTATTTGCATGATATTAGCATAAATCTGCATGTGCTGTATATTCCTAGTGTGTCTTGGAGTCAATTACTATGTTCAGGCTGCTCTGTGTTCAAGGAAAGTGCATCAGCAGAGCGGTGGCTTCAATGGTATGTGGGAATGAAACTCCCAACCTGAAAGATACCTGAGCTGAGTTTGTGTTCTCTAAAACTGAACAATTAATTTGAGGAACAATGGAGGTTAAGAGCAGAATATATTTATTGGGGGAAAGAAAGCTTCTGTTGGAGAGAAAGACAGAAAAATGGACCCCAGCCAACTGCCCCAGAAGCTGTGTCTTACAGGGATTTTTATAGAGTAAAACCTTGTGGTGAGGCGAGTCTAAGGTAAAGAACATGGGAACTTGCTTAGGTGGACATGAGGTGGGACAAAACTGTGGTCAACCAATGAGATTACAAGCACAGTCACTCACATAAAATTGATTAAATCCGGGACCAAATGGGGAAGCGAGTCAAGTGGGCGTGAATACACAACAGGGGCTTTTCCTGTAGGGGGCTGGGTTAGTGACTTCCAGGCGTGCTTAAGGTGAGAGACTCATTTAGAATGTGGTCCACAGCGGAGCTCTGTCTCTCCCAAAGTTGCAAAGTCATCTTGCCTTCCATACTGTCTCCTTGAGAGCCTAACCCTGGAATATAATAAATTCAAGGCCCTTGACCCAGAGTAAAAGATTGCCGCCAGGCCATTTGGCAAAGCCCAGACCTTCTGCCTGCAAAGCCTGCAGAGGGAAGTCGTGCAAGGCCAGTGGTGGCCTTACCTACTGACTCGACACTTAGAACAGGCTGTGCTTGTTTGTGCCTATAATATTTTAATCTAGCTCAGCTGCCTGTAACGTCATGACGAGAGGATGCCCAAAGCCCTGCCCTACCCTAGCTGAGAGCATCTCCCTGGGGCTACCTTTTGCTGTCCCCTGTGCTACTGTCCGTTGCCTTTGGTGGCTCACACTAGAAGTTCTGCTAATTGAGCAAGGCTGGGCCGTGGTGCCTCTGATTTGCTCAGCAGTCCTAAATTAGCCAGATTAGAAGCTCAGACACTGAAGGAACTTTACGGATGTCTAATCCAGGATCAACAGGATGACCTCACTGTACATGCGGTAAAAGCTCTGGTCAGGATAAGAGGTGGGTAGAGCCTTAAGTCCTACTTTATCTATCCCCTCATTCCCAAAGACATCTGCAAAGACTTCAGCTTCCAGGTACGGTCTTGAGCCACCCTCCCCCATTTTACAGCAGAGGCACTGAAGAGGCACTGAGACTGCAAAAACAATACGTTTAAGGACTGGTATTTGGACACACTGAGGTGCTTTGTAAGCTGCCTCAGAATCAAGATCCCCCTGTCTTCACCCAGCTGCTGCCCTGTAAGCACAGGGAGAAACCCTGCCTGGAATTCCCTCCTCCTTCACCGCAGGGGAGCTTCTTCCAACACAAGGGCAGGCCTGAGGTTGTAGGTCAGGGGTAGAGCTCTGGCCTGCCCTGCTGCAGACCCAGGGTTCCATGCATGCCAGCACTGCAAACAAACAAGCAGCCTGTTCTTCCCAAGGGTCAAGTCAGTAGGTAAGGCCCCCACTGGCCTTGCAGGATTCCCTCTGTGGGCTTCCAGGCAAGAGGTCTGCACTTGGCCAAATGGCCTTGTGGCAACCTTTCACTGTGGGTCAAGGGCCTTAAGCTTCAATCGAAAGGCAGCTACTAGGCCTGGGGGACCCGCTGGCAACTTGCTTAAGCCCAGACAAGTCTGTGCCTGTGGCTCATTAGGCCTTTCCCAGCCTTGTGTCTTTGTTCGTAATATGTTATGCAGTGCTGGGACTGGAACCCAGGGCCTTGCCGGTACTGAGCACATGTTCTACCAGTGAGCTTCAACCCCAGCCTCACTCCTTTCTCTGTGGATCAACCTCTCCCAGGCAGCCAGGAAGAGACCCCTCTGCAGTGAGGGAGAAAGCCTGGGCCATAAGCACATGGGGGTGGACGTGGGCACTAAAACAGACTAGGGGGTTGAATACCTGCTTTACCACCATTCCACACTGCCACACCCTGCCATGACTTAGCCTGCTCATGCTCAGTTTCTGTATTTGAAAACAGGCAAATGTATGCTAAAGAGGAACTGACTTAATACAGTGCTAATGCATAATGCTTAGCCCATACTCAGTATGTGGCAAGCCACGGGGGGGGGGGGGGGGACCTTGTCATTTATCCCCAACCCTCAGGCCGCTCAAGATCTTCCCAGGTTCTTGCCACCAGCGCAGTCAAGGCTCACTTCTCCCCAAGGCAGACCAGGGCCCCCTTCATCGGCCCCTGTACCTCTCAGCTCTGGCTCCTGCTGTGTCTTCCCAGCCCTCAAGCCCTGCACAGGGCAGAGGCTCTGCCCAGCAGCTCTTCAGCACGGCTGGGTGTGTTCAACACTAGGACATCAGATACCTCAACCAGACAGGAATGTGAGGTCCAGTGAGAACAGCCTGGGAGGCAGCCAGCCAGCCACCAAAGAGGGAAAAGATCTGCTTCTCTAATCGGGATGCCCAGTGTCCACACTCCATGCGGGACAGAGAGAAGGGGCTGGAATCCACTGCCCATCTGCCCAGAGACCTATGTCCTTGAGGAACTGGTTTTTTCTTTTCAGCAGTTTGCTTTTTTCACTGAATACTTCTTCTTTTCCTCTCTCAGGGGCTGACTGTCTTGATCCACCCCATACTGGGGATTGAACCTAGGCACTTTACACTGAGCTACAGCCCCAGTCTTCTTTTATTTGTTTATATTCTTTTATTTGAGATAGAGTCTCATTAAATTGCCAGTTTGGGCTTGAACTTGCAATCCTCCTGCCTCAGCTCCCAGAGTGCTGGGATTGCAGGCCTGTGCCATCATGCCCAGCTGAGCTGACCACTTTTTAACAAACTCTTACTAACTACCAGGCTCTTTCCTTGAACAGTCTCCCCACTGCCCACAACCAGCTGATGAGGCATATGCACTCCCAGTACAGTGGAGGAAATGGTCAAACTTAGTGCAGAAGACCTAGGAATTGGAACTCGGAACCCCGTGCATGTTCCTGTACCCTACAGGTGCTTCCAGAGGCCAAGGTCTTGCTCCTTCTCTTCCTAGGAGGACCCAAGCCTAGCTGGCTGGGGCCCAAGACCCTTGACAAGGCCATTACCGCCTTTATTCCCTACAGGGCTTTGGCTTCTCCCATGCTGCAGCCACCAGCATTTTCTAAAGGTGGCTCTGAATGATGGCCTTCCATGTAGTGTCCCTGAAGTCAGCTACTTAGAACTGATGGAACCATTCCATGTGTCAGATTTCTAGCTGGTAAGACACGGCCTGAAGCTGCTACCTTACTAAGAGGCTGGGGTAGCTGCTGAGACCTCCCTAGATAAGCTGGGTGCTTTGCGAGGAGTGTTTGGTGCAGAATGATCTACCAGTCATCCTGCCTGCACTGTGCCTGTTGGACCTTCATACCCTGCTGGCCCCACCCCCTTTTGCAAAAGGGTCAGCAAAGGCATGCAGGTAACCACCCACAGGAGACAGCAAGGAGAGGGAGGAAAAGATTGGGGGGGGGCTGGTTCCAATCCCAGATGGGCCTTTTCCACATTGCACAATGAAGGCCAAGCTAGCCACATCATCATCTGAAGAACTGGCACTGATCCCATCTGTTTCACAGAATCTGAACATAGCCCAGTATTTGCTACGATATCAGGAGATGTCACTTCCTCTCCCTCAGATCCCCTTGGAGGCCAAGACCAAAGAAGCAAAGAACTCAGCAGGTGGTCAGATCCCTGGCCTCATCTCTGCCCTTGACCTCAGTGTGTTTGCAGAAGACCTGAGGCCACTGACCGGCAGCTCTGCCCCAGCTGGGCGGAGCCGTGACCTGTCACCCTTCAGCCTCAGCTCACACTGATCACCACCCACGCTGTGCTGAGTGTGGGGTCCCAGTAGCAGGAGGAACAGCACACAGAGAAATGGCAGCTGAGGTCCCTGGTGGCCGGGGCATCTGCTCCACCATCCCTACCCAGGGCTGTGGAAAGACACCTGGCAAGGACACACCTGGTGAGCTGGGCTTATGGGCTGGGAGAAGGCAGGGAGCAGCATGTGGCATGGAGTGAGCACCCGCTAAATGAGCCCCAGCTGTTGGGACTTCTTTTCTCCATTACTCCTGGCAAACTGCCAAGAGATACACTTCTTTCAATTTTCTGTCTTTCTCCCAAAATCCACCCAAGGTGATACCATGACTCTGAGTGAATGCCGGCAGTTCAGGGGACAAAGGGGATTCTCCTCCATAGTGTCCGTGCCTTTTATATTTATTTTTGCTTATAGAGTTGTTCCAGAGGCAATGTGGAATAGCTTCTACTAGAGAGTTTAGCAATAAGGTTAACAGTAAACTAGGCACAGAAATACCATGAAGTAGAAAAGAAGAAAGTAGAATTGAAATCTGCTTACTAAAGACAATACGTTCAGGAACACCATTGTGATAGTCCTAGCCACCAGGGTAGAAAGCAGGAATAACCTGCACTAAAAAGGAATCCGCCTATTTTTTGCTTCCTGAAGCTTTGTGTGACAGGCCTTGGGTGCAGTGGAGGGTAGGGTCACTAACTGCACATTTACAGAGATTCAGAGGCTGATTATCGGGCGCTATTGGCACACAAGAACATTTGCGAAAGCACAGGACGACACCAAAGCGCACCTGAGTGACTGCTGTCCAATTGGAGCTTTCTGTCCACCTGTCTTGACCCAGACACTGGCGGAGCCAGCAGTTTCCTCCACTGTACCACAAGCCAGTGCTTTCAAGCTAACTCCTACCAAATCTTGGTACAATGTGTTTCTAATTCAGGAGTTCTGCGACTTTCAAAACTTCCCTGACTCACCGTCATGGGCACCAACTTTGGAGTAGCAGGGGTGGAGGCCTGGATTTCTGGCCTCCTCCGCTGGAAAGGCACAGCTGTGTCTAACACAGATGTGGAGAACCTATTCCTGGGCTCAGCACAAGCCTCCTGGAAATTCTGGGCAGAACCTCTGCATTCCAGTGGGCCACCTTGACCCAGTCACAAGCCATCACACAAAAGTTAAGTGCTCACCATGCACCACGGAGCTCCCTGGAGAGACGGTCCGCACAACCTCCTGCTCTTCTTCCACTGTACCCTCAGCACCTGTCACTAGAACCTTCTCCACACCCTTGTGTTGGTCACAGTTAAATCTCCCTGCAGACACAGTTTGTCACTATCCTGAGCTCAGTTAGCTTTTTTTCCCTGGAGAGCTCAGCTCTCAATAGAGGACTGGAAGGATGACTGGGGTATACTTAGATCATACAAGTGTACCAAACTCTGCAGTGAAGGATATCGGAGGGCATGGAGTGGTCCCCAAGGACCCTAAGTCACACTTTATAGTGTCATGCAATTTGTACCACAGGCTCACGGCAGTGTGCCTTGGAAAGTGATCTGTACATTGAAATCTCAGGCCCCAGCAGGATCTGCCATCCCAGCTCACAGGCCATCCCCTCCCCTTGCCCTGGGTGGCCCATGTCCCCTGCACTGGGTCATTGTGGTGGTCTAGACAATTCCTCCCTTTGCCTGAGTTACCTTCAGGACCCCCTCCATGGAAGTTTGTCTCCTTTCCCTCCTTCATACAAGGGAACAGCTCCCAGGGCCCCAAAAACTTGGGGGAGTCTTTTGGTTCCTGGTCAATGGAAAAAGACCATCAGTAGGGAGCGGTGCCTTCCCTGGAGCCAAAGCGCACCCTGCCCAGCCTAGACAGGGCCAGGGCCAGGTGGCTGGGCTCCTGGCCAGGGCTGTCAGAGTCCATGGCTTCCTCTGCCTATCTTGTTTTAATAGTCAATTAAATCTTTCAGTCTTGTTAAATAGATGTCATTTGTCCTGGCCTATAAATGCTGGGTCAATCCATGGGGCAAAGAATGGACAGCATTCTAGATTCTCATCCTGACTACTCCTACCTTCTCAGCCAAAAGACTAGCCTTCAAGGAAAGGGGTGACCCCAGGATCTCAATAAATTGGATATTTATGCCAACACCATGAGTGGATTGGTTGTATCAACAGGCACCAGCACTGGGCATACACAGGGGGAGAACAGGGTGGCAGCAATCCTATGTCACACACATGATGACATTTCAGCAGAGATTTGGAGAAAGAGAAGGCCCACGGGAATCTCTGGAGATCAGGCAGAGAGAACAACCAGAGTGCTGGTCCTGTACGCAAACCTATTCCAAGAACCCTGCCTAATGTGTTTGAAGAAAAGGGAAGACAGCTGGGCACAGCGGAGTGTGAACAGAGGCTGATGGGAGAGGAGGCTGGGAGCCAGCCAATCACGCTGGCCTTGTCTGCCATCCCAAGGGCGGGGCTTCCACTCTGACACCAGGGGAGCTGGGCGAAGTTTTGTGCAGAGGCGTGACATGGCACAATGACTGCCTTGCAAGGATGGCACAGGCTACTTCGCTTTGGCCTGGCTCAGGATCCCAGGGACTGGCCTTGGAAGTCCTCAGCAGAACTTAGGGTATCACCCTCCTACTGGAACAGGGGAGGGCTCCTCTGAATTGACCCTCAAACGTCAGGAAACCATGGAGCTCTAGTACACACCAGATCCTGTGCCTACTTCCCTTCCTGTCTCCCTCCCTTTACTTCCTCCTTCCCTCCCTGTTTTTCCTTCTCATTCTGCCTCTCCCTCTCCCCTGGGAACCCACAAAAACACCTACTGTGTGAGGGATATTAGATAGACCCAACGTCCCTTCCAAGGCTTCTGGAAGATCCTTGAGCATTTTTATTTTCCAAGCTCAAGCTCCTTGCAAGAAGGATGCTCAGAGATCCCCACCAGCCAAAGCAGATATTTATTTAAAGAGCAGCTATGGTGTCAGCAACTAGTTTTTGTCTTCTTCCTAACATTTACTAACAACCCACTGCAGAGGCTACTGTCCACACCAGGGATCCCCGAGGCAGGGTCCGGCATAGGGAAGTGGCTGAGAACTGTCACAGGAGCTCAGAGAGGGTGGAGTCCTGGGGCAGGATGGAACAGGAGGATCCCTGTAGAAGACCAACAGACAGGCCCTGGGGCTAGCCCAGCAGATAACTGGAGAGGGGCATCAGGGGCAGGAGGAAGCCACGCCCACGCCCACGCCCCTGAGACCGTACAGGCGCTCCCGGTGCTCTTGGAGGCATTTCCTCCACAGGGAAGGCTGAAGGCTGCCTCCTCAGCCCTGCTGTATGCTCTGGGATCCAACAGTAGATCCATTTGTGAGGCCTCCTGTCCCTACCTCTGGCCTCCCTTGGGCTTATCTTCCTCATGCAGTTTGAATTCTTGGAACACAAGACTCTTCTGCTTCCTAAGAGTAACTTGAATCTCCTTATCAGTGACTGGTGGCATATGGCCTCAAGAATATTCCCGAAAGAGTCACATGGGCTGGGGAAGCCCCACTCAGCCTTCCACAAGTAAAGGTAGTATTCTCCCTAGCTATCAGAGCCCACATTCTTCCCTAGTCAATGTCAACAGTAGGCGTAGCCCAAGGTGAGAAAGGGCTTGGACTACGCATTGGCATTGCTATGAGCAGGTATGGCATTGGCATTGCTATGAGCAGGTATGGGGGCATCTTCTCTGGGACACAGTGCTCTTCTGGGGTCCAAAGTGCCCAGGCAGGGCTCTTGGTACCCAGCAGCTCCTGGAGGACCAAGGCAACCACCAGACTCTTCCTTGCTGACTACCAGCAAGGGTCAAGGTCCTCCCCAAGGGTGACAGGATAAGGAGGTGTGTGGAACCACAGAGGCTTGGCATCTGTAAGCCATCTCTGGTGGGACTTCATGGCAGAGGAGGGAAATGTCCCAATCCAGTTGGCCTTGGCCTCTGTCCACCTGTGCTGCCTCAAACAGCCTCTCGATCTGCCATGATGGCCTTGGTCATAAGATGCACTTGGAATGCAAGTGTCTCTCACGTTAAGGAGGTGTAGAGGCCCAGAGCATCCTGGTTAAGAGTTGGTCTTGCCAGGGCCGGGGAGATGGCTCGGTAGAATAAGTACTTGCCTAGCAAGCGCAAGCACCTGAGTTCAATCCCCAGTTCTGAAAAAAAGAAAGGAAAAAAAAAAAAAAAAAAAAGAGTTGGTCTGGAGTTCTGCTCACTTTAACTATGTGCAGACAAGGAAGTAAGTGGTGGGCCTGGCTCTGATCCTCCAGTAGGAGGAAGATAGAGACCAAGGACCCTGCGGCTCAAAGATTGCGGCTCTGAGGAGGTAGCCCAGCCCGATAAGCAGCGGCGGGCTGGCGGGCGGCCACCTCCGCGCGAAGGTCCGGCCTCCCGGGCGCACAGGCGAGCGGGCGGGGCTCAGGGAGGGAGGAGCTCGACCGAGCCACCGCCTCTGCCTGCGACCTGTCGGGCCGCGGCTGCTTGGAGCGGCGGGCCGCAGAGGTGAGTGACCCGGTCCGGCCGCCGCGAGGCTGTGGGCCACACCTTATCCCCGGGGCCCCGCCTGCGTGCACCCTGAGCGGTTGGAACATCTAGTGACCCGCGTACCTTAGGGCCGAGCCACGTGCGCCGGCGCTGGAGGAGCCGGTTCTGGCCCCCAGCCCTGTGCGCTTCCTCCCCGAGAGACGGAAGCCGCTTGTGCGTGGCGGATTGGGCACAGCTGGGGACCCAACAGAGGGCAGCGGGCGTGAGGAATCCGGGTGCAGACGTGGGCGCCCCTCCCTGCAGCCCCCGCCAGGACCTCAGGTCCCGCTGGCCCGGTTGTTGAGCGGGTCCTGCCGGGTCCAGCCCATCCGAAGACAGGGCAGGCAGGCGGCTGTGGGCGGGACCTTCCTGGATCTTCCTCTCTAGGCCTCCTAGACTCTTAGCCAACCAGGGCAGGGTCACCGGACTATCGTCCCCAGCACGCTGCCCTTAGGATCGTTGCCTGGGAAGTACCCTCTCCTCTCCTCTTTCTCGAAATTTTGGGACTTGGTGCCCGGAGAGGTTTGACTAGAACTTTGGTCACTCTGTAGATGAAGGCTGTACATGTCCTTTGGGAGCCAAAAGCCCCATCCGCGGGGCAAATGCAGCAGGTGCTAGCTTAGGGAGCC